TCTAGACGCCCGCGACCGGTGAGTTGGGGGCGCACCCGGGGACATCAGTAATGTCGGGGTTCCGGGCTGACAGGGGAGCAGTCCGTCTCTTTAGGCACAGGCCCGAGGATCCCTGGGTGACAGGGAGGGGCCGGGATGCGGTCTGTGCGGCTGCCCCGCTGCTCTTTCTCCAGACCCCTAGGGCGCAGGCCTTCCTTTTCGGGCCCCCAAAGCCACTGTGACACCCCTGGGTGGCATCCGTCGCCTTTTGCGTCCAAACGGGCGGGAAAAGTTTGGAGAAGAGTCAGGGCGGCTCCCCTCTCCGCCACCTCTGGCCCAACGCTCCGAAAGTTTAGGGTAGCCAGTCCACTTGTCGCCTATGGTACTCAGCGTCTGATCCCCAAGCAGTGCTAAGCAGGCAGGATCTGCTGCGCCCAGACGCGGTACGTGGGTCCCCGTGGGCCGCTTGCTCCTCTGTACCTGGGCTCCCTGGCGCCCCACAGTGGCGAGGGGCAGTTTCTTTGGGTTCTTAGCGGTGTCCCAGAATTTGGGGGTGGGGGTGGGGTATAGCCAAGGATAACTCCTTGCCTGCTCTTACCTACTATGGCAAATATGGGGGCTTTAAAGGCTAGGAAGCATGCCACCCATGATTCCACGCAAAGAGGAGGTATAACTGAATGTGCATGCCGGGCTTGGAGAAGGTCTGAAGCGTCTAGCTTCAATTCAGGAGGACCCCACTCATACGAGGCACCTTCAATCTGCAACTTCAAAGACAGACTAGTGGGTGGTGGTGGTTGCCAGAGGATGGGAATGGGTGGGATTTGGTAATATTTAACAGGTACAGTTTTGGTTGAGAACGATGGAAAGTTTTGAGTATAAGTAGTTGTGAGAGTTACTCAACATGGCTGGTTTATTTTAGGCCGTGGGCTTGTACAATTACAAATTATTTAAATAATAAACACTATGTTATTTTGCCACAGTGAGAGGTACAAGAGACACCTCTAGCCACCTCTGCTTGGTCATTCTGAATCAGAGAGAAATCCCAAAACCCAGCCATGGAGGCTGTCCACCTCTCCCTGGAATATCACTTTCAAGTAAGGATAGAGGTTCCATCGAATGTATCCATCCAGATTACCTGGAAGACCCAAGGGAAGAGGATGTGGAAGCCCATGGGGGTATACTGTGGGCTCCACGTGCCTCCTCCTCCCAGAGAGCCTTATCCTTCCTTGCCTGTCCCTAGCACAGCACACCCCCCTGTTGAAGGTGGAGAAACCTGGCCCAGAGACCTGGCAGAGTTAGATACTCAAGGCTGTGGAGCCAGAACTTCTCCCTGTCTCCACTGTATCCTCCCTCGTTCTCACCAGGAGATACCTCAGTGGCATGCAGGAAATGGGGAGAGACCCTTTAAGAGGTGTGGGTCCCCTCCAAGGTACGTGGGCAGATAGATGCCCAGCCCATAGCCTAGGTTGGCACTAGGGGTGGCCAGAAGGTGCTGAACCTGTTTTTCCTCCAAGGGGTTTTGGATCCTTACCACCGCCACCCCCACAGGAACTGAGGAGTCAGACTGGGAGGCAGAAAGAACAGGTCGCAAAGCCTGGAGCCTTCTCTGTCCCTCAAATGCAGAAGCTGAGGCTGGCCTGCAATCTGGGCAAGGGTGTTTGTGTGGGAAGCTGGGGAGGGAGCCAGGAGAGGGGGAGGGGAGGGCAAGGCTGGGCAAAACAGTCCTGGGAAGAGTTAGCTTGGGTGGTGCTGCCCCACCTACAGGGGAGGCCCCCTCTGAATCTGACACTGCCCCAAGGGAGAATTTAATTGTAAATACAGAGTGTATTTATTTAGCAGCCCCCAAACACACACACTCACACTCACTCACACACACACTTAAATACTCATAGGTACACTCAAACACCCTCCTTACGGGCATCTAGATTTCTTTCATACCTTCACAGTAGGCATTGATCGAAGGGAGGGTCAGTTTGTCAGTTTTTTTGTTTATGCGCGGGTACTGACCGACAGTCAGCTGCCCAGTGGTTTCCTCTCCTGTTCTCAGAGCCTCTCTGCTCATCCTTAAAATGCACTGGAGGAGGCAGTTCTTGGTCACAGTGAATGAACTCTAAGGGACACTACGTGGAAGGAAGTCTGTGGAGACAGAACTATATAAATACCTTTGCAGGCTACATGGGATGGCTTGGGACTCTGAGGCTGACCAGGAGACTGGAGTCCAGCCACCTCCTGGGGGAGGTGCATATTGCAATGTGTGGCTGATGCCCAGGTCTGATGTCAGGTGGGAGCTCTGACACAGGTTTCAAAATCTAAGGTGGAGCAGGTGCTTAGGCCAAGGGTGGCTCAAGCAGAGCTGGGCATCAAGACCCAAAGGTGAGCTTAGGACCCTGTTCTGGGACTAGGGAACAAAACTCCAGAGAGAGAGGCCTGTGCAGGAACGATGTTCCTGTGTGCTAGAAAGAACAGGAGTCTGCACTTGGAATGTGGTACCCGTGAAGGGGAGGTACCCCCTGCTCACCCCATCACTGGTGAGATGTTGTCTTGCTCCTCGCAGGTGCTGGCCTATGAGCAAGGTTTAGGTAGTTGTAGACAGGCCTTTGGCAGAGTCAGGGATTGAACACATCTGACTCTTGTTAGACCCACAGGAGGACACTAAAAATATCAGCGGCAGGGCTGCCACTCAGCCAGAGCAATCGCTAGTAACCCGACACCCCAAGTGAGGCTGGTGGCTGTGACAGATGGTGATGACAACACAGGACCTCTGGATTCTAGAGTCACTTGGACTCCTCCAGGATAACCAACCTGGGGACAGATGCCTGCAAAGGGTGAATGCTGTCTGCATTCACTGGCATGGGCAAAATTTGGAGAATTTCAGGATCTAAAGAATCTAGATTTTTGAGAGCTAGGCACAAACCCAGAGAGGTGGTATGAGTTGTCCAAGGTTGCACAGCAAGCTGGTGGCAGACCTAGATCTCAGGAAGTGGTCCGTGGGATTCCAGCCTCATGGACTGAGAGACTCTTGCAATATATGTCTTTTGTCTAGTTCTCTGGTGGCTGAATGTTGGGCAGAACACTCTCCAGTGTATTACTTTCCCTAGAGCATCTGGGGACTTTCAGATGCAGCTGCTGGGCTCTAGAGAAGCTGGCTCATCTTGGGGCAGGATGTAGGGAGGAGGAAAACCAAGCAGATGGTCTTTCCTCTTCCCAGCTGAGGTACTGTTGGCTCCATTGCTTAATAAGTACCTGTCAGATGCCGAACTGAACTCTTGCCCTGGCCCTCACCTTCCTTGGGCAGCCAGGCTTCTGTTCATGGGGGCTTAGGGCTCTAGAGGGAAGAGAAGTCTGTACCATTCTTTTTTGTTTGTTTGTTTGTTTGTTTCGAGACTGAGTTTCCCTGTAGCCCTAGCTGTCCTAGAACTCCATCTGTAGACTAGGCTGTCCTCAAGCAGAGAGATCACCTGCTTCTACCTCCCAAGTGCTGGGATTAAAGGCTTGCGCCACCACAGCCCAGCTTGGCTGTTCTATTCTTGCCAGGCTTGACTGCACCAGTTTTCAGAAGCTTCCTAGGACTTAGGGTTCAGAGCTGAGTGAGGAGTCACCAGTGCCCTCAGAAATCTGGGACACAAAGCAGCTGTTATGAGGTAGGATATAGGTGCACAGTGTGGCTCCTCACTGCAAATTGCTCCTAGACTAAGATGATTTTCCCCACAGTTGAGTCCCTCATGTAACATATTGTGTGTGTGTGTGTGTGTGTGTGTGTGTGTGTGTGTGTGTGTGTGTTGGCATGTACACATGTGTGGAAGTCAGAGACAACTTGCAGAATTTGGTTCTCCCCTTCCACCTGTGGCTCCTGGCTCTTTGGGCTTGACTTCCTGGCAAGTGCCTTAACCCACTGAGCCATCTTGCTGGCCCTCAATTTTCCCTTCTGATGTGCTGTCACAAACTCATCTTGTGACCTTGCCTTTCTTGAAATGAAAGTATTTTTAAATATCTCACTAAGTGAATACGGCGTGATTGATCTCATTAATTTAAATTAATGAATTCTCCTCAAAATGTTACGCATTTCTGTTTGTGCCCAGGTTGATTCCAAAATAAAAGTCTATGGCCTGACATAAAAAGAAGAAATATTAATAATGTATTTTCCTTGGTTGGCATTTGAAAAGAATTGCAAACAGCACATGAGCCTACAGTTTCACAGATACTTCTGTGTGGGGTCAAATAAAAGTTAATGTTTCTTAAACTCTACATTTTCTTAATTAATCAATAAGCACAGGTTGTCCAAGTTTGGTGAAAATCTTAGTGTCAGAGTAACTGCCTTTATGGAAGGTGTTTTCTAAGTGTGAGCCTGGAATGGACACATTTCACACGTATTTAATATAACATTTACATTAATTTTCTGAGAATTTGATACATGTAAACAGTATATCTTGATCATTTCAGACTTTAAATAATAATAATGATTATTGTTGTTGTGTGTGTGAAGGCACATACATGCCACCATGGGCATGTGACAGAGGAAAACTTTGGGGAGTTGGTTCTCTCTACCATAGATAGGTTCTGGGGATCACACTCAGGTAAGTCAGGCTTGTGCCACACGCACTTTTAGCCTGTAGGGAGCCATCTCACCAGCCCCATTTCACACTTCAGGTTTTTATGTTGCTTTTTTATATCTTTGAAGACACTTTTGACGAGAGAACTAATCCACAGACACCCATGAGCTACCATACACTCTCCTCTTCAGCAAAGCCCTATATTCTGCTTCTGACAGAGATGGCTGACTTAGTGCCCAACAGTCTCTTCATCTTCAGTGAGGGTCCCATGACCTTCACTGGTTGCTCTGAGGGTCAGAGTAGGTGGTCTGTAGATGTCTGAGAAGTAACTTGAGATATGGTTTGCTTGACAGATGTGAGGCTGAGGGAGATGGACTTGTCCACTTGAGTCTTAGTGAATATTATTAAGCAGCTGTCTGCTATGAGGAATCTGGAGAGGAATTCCCCATCTTCCAAAGGTGATTATCATCTAGTCAGAGGTGCTGAGTT